GCTTTTAGTGATGATCGTTTCTACATGTTCAGCTCGAATGTTGATTAATTAGATTTTTTTTTTTTCCCCCGAAATAAACGCGATATCATATTACTTTGTAACCGAAATTAATTGCAGAAACAGTAAACACGGCGAAACGTCGAAATTGCGACCGTCGTTCCGGCTCGGGCTGGCAAATAATCCCGAAAGCACATTTCCGCTTTTTCCTATACTCTCCACGGTTTATATCCTTCGAACGTGTCTCCCGGTAGGACATCGGACACGAAAACAATAAAACGCGTCGGACTTATATATATCGCTTTGTCGATCGTCCGCCGATCGCGATACATTGCGCGAGAAATATAACGCTCTCTCGTGTGTGCGCGCGCGCCCGCGCGCACGTGTGTGTGTCGTAAACGGAATATACGAGGAATTACTACGTGAAGAAACAATTTTTTGTTTTTTTTTCTGCTGGCGTGGAACATCGAGATATATAAGTGTATGTGTGTATTCGTGTCGCAACAAGTTCGATATTTCCGCCCGAACGACTTTATATCGAAACGATATTCATCCCGCGGAAGATTACACGCGGCATTCGCGCGACCGTTCTATTATCCTTCGGCCGTTTATTTATTTTTTTTTTTTTTTTTTTGTCGCGAAATTTGTGGCTCGTCTGTTCTCGCGGCAACGCGACATTTCGGGAGAACAAAAAAATCTCGCGGTTTTAAATTACAGGCGTTCCTTTTGAAACGCGCGAATGTAGACCAAAAGAAATCTTATCTGCGAAGAGTTCAAGTTTCTTCTTTTGTCGCAAATTACAACGTATCGAATTTGAACGAAAGAGCGATGTAACTAAAGGGATCGGAAATATTTTGGCTACGTTTTTGTTTTACACACATGAAAAATAACTATCGTAAAGTTTTTCCGATATATAGTTACATCGTAATATAAATTATAATACGAGGGAAGCACACGCAGAGAGAATAGTACGCGCAGCGAAATATATCGATACCAGATCTGCGCGCGCTTCATAACGTGTATAGATTTCCATTTATATCGTATCTATATAAAACATATATATATATATATATATATATATATATATATATATACACACTTTATAACATAATAATCTATTCTTACACAAATTGCATCGCGTTTGGCGAAACATAATACAGACGTCAACGTCACGGAGGCGGAGAAGTGTATCTACGAGAAATAGGAAAAGGTAAAGTTGATGGATCGAGCATCAACGCGCATCGCGTTATTCCTGATCCATCTCTTTGGTTCTTATATTCTCCAGAGCCGTTGTATTCTCTCTCTCTCTCTCTCTCTCTCTCTCTCTTCTCTTCCATCACATCTTCTCTCCTCTTAGGTACGAGAGTCGTTGCGCGTCCGCTTCCATTTTTCGACGTGCATTTTTATTTCCTACGCTGCTATTCAAGCTGCCCACTAACGTCCTTTTACTTTCTGCTTTCCGTCCCATCTGCTCTCATCTCTATTCCCATCGCGCCGATGTTCCCCGTCCGCCGTGTTCCTTTCTTTTTCTTGACAATATCCGGAACACGACTGAATTGAAAAGGAATCGACCGCGCGCGGATATTAAAAATAAATGAAATGCCATTTAATCGAAAAATGAAAACTCGCGGACTCGGGGAATAGATAAAGTTCAATTTTGTGTTAAAGCTTTTGTTGAGATAAGAGAAAGAGGAGATAGCTGTATATTTTTGTTAACATTCTCGATTCTTATACGTTATTTTTTTTTATTTTTACACTTGCTTTCAACGTAACTTTTGTTTTTTTACATCCTGTGTTCAATCGCGTCCGCTTAAGAGCGAACGAATCAAATGAGAAAAGAATCGATTGCGCGTATATTTTATTCGCGCGCGCGCGCAAAGAATAAAAACAACCCAAATGGGGAGATCGGGCGGAAATTCGATTTATTATAAAACACACTTCTCTCAAAGTTGTTCCTCCGGAGTGAGGTTATATATATACGGCGAGGTACTTTAATGGACAAAAAAAAAAAACGAGAGTACATAGAAAAGGGGAGCAAAAGCATTTGCCAGGCTAACGATCACCCCATTAAGCAACGAATTAAACCTCGTTTGCTTTCGAGCGAGCGAGTGAGAGAGAGAGAGAGACTCGTTTACAGCCAACTTGATTTTTCCGCGCTTTGCTCTTTGAACGCCGCCGCGGCGGCGTATAGACGATCGGTACGTCGCGAGAGTTTATTCTGGCCCCGTTTGCTATCGCGCGCGCGCACTCGGTTCATGGTAGTTTAATAATAAGGTAAACTCTCAATACACCGAGCATATAGACCAAAGCTCTACAATATGTTGCGCATTCAAAATTGCCATTAAATTAACATTGCTTTACCGAATATATTTGCACATATTGTAATACATACAGTTGATTACGTTTCTCAACGGTTCCAAACGCGAGACGGTTTTACCAGCCTCGCAATTCTATTTATTACGCTTATCTATGTATAATATTCACTAAAACGACAACTAAATCCGTCATAAAATAAATTCGTCATAAACGGATTTCTCTGAGATTTTTTTTATTTTGAATTACATAAATCTCTCCTGAGTGTAGGTTTCACACATTTTAACAACAGGGAAAAAACATTAACGTGAAATATTAAAACTTTTTGCAGCTGTAAAGCTTGTTTTGTTAATTAATTTTTTAATTGTTACATTAATTAAAAAATAAATTAAATAAAACGTTTTTCTTCAAATTAACGGATGTGGTGAAACTATATGCGTTCAAATTCAAGTCAAAGTAGATCTTGAAAGCTTAAAATCGGGAAATGTTTAATAAACAAACGATTTTCACAATTTTGAAACGTTTCGATCATTTATTTCTTTCTGTCATCATCATCGAGCCAATCTGTGCAATTAAGTCAGAATCATCGAATGTCTAATCTTTGCACGACATATTGGATAATTTAGTTTCAAAATCAACATATAATGCTAATATCACAACAAGACTCTCAAGATTTGATCCACATTGATATCAAAATGCAAATATAAAACAAAAAGAAGATTAACGATCGAGGAGAGCCCTATCGTAAACAAACAAACTCGTAATGAGTGTCAACAATTTTCAAAGATATTTCGCCGTCATAGTTTTTTTTTTTGTAAATTCGTGATAAATTGTAATTTATGCACAAAAACAACGTGAGATTTAAATCAAAACGTAAAATGTCCACTATTAAAACCTATTAAATTCACTTTCTCGGAAATCGAAGTAATACCGTGTGTTAAATTTCATTTAACCGGCTTTTTCTCTCCCTCTCACTCTCTCGCTCTCTTTCTCTCTCTTTGGCTTTATATCGCCGCGTCCGATATAGTGGCGCGCGGATAAAAACGATACGAAACGCGAAGAACGAAACCGTCAAGATTGTTGTAATCCGCGTATAATGACAGCGATATCATTTCCCCGCAACGTGGAATGATAATGGAACCTCGGAAACCCATTATCTTCCCGCCCGCGAGAAGCCATTATTCGCCGGTTTCCCAGCTTTTCCGTTGATCTTTTTCGCTGTTCTCTCGCGATAATCGGCGGGGAGGCTAACCGGGACGGGCTTAATCGGCCGGCAACGAAATGACCCAACATTTTCAGCAGCGCTCGTAATAAAAGATCGTCCAAATTCATTCCTAAGCGTGTCCCGTGATTCGGGACACGTGTGTAAATTTTCTCCCGGCGATTTCGCTTTTAAATCAACAATAAAGATATTAATCGCCAATTCTCATTTTCGCTTGCGTCGCTACTTTGGCTGATAAAACGCTGATCGCGCATATTCGGCTTGTTATCGGAATGTTGCGCAGCTTCGCAACAATCGACACGTTGCGTTTTGTTGTCGAAGCGCGATTACGAGAAGTAGAGGGGGAGGGAGGAGGGAAGAGAAGAGGTCGTCGGCAATTCAGAAGTACGATACCATCCAACACACTCTCTCTCTCTCTCTCTCTCTCTCTCTCTCTCTCTCTCTCCCTTTCCACGTTTACCGAAATTCGCTATTCCCGGCACTTGGGTTCGAACACCGCTGTCTCGTTGTTGCTTTCCCTCTCTCCTGGACGCGCAATAACTCCCCGTTGTGCGCCCGGCAAGCTCGAAAATCGATTTCCGTCCGCGCGACAACGTAAATTAACTTGTGCGATGTAAGGACGCAAACCAAGCGGAGAGGTTTGTTTCTCTGCCTCCGCGCTCTGGTTTCGGGAGACGACGAGATGCTCTAACTTGGACTCGGTTCGTCGTCCTAATCCTGGGACCGGACATGCGGCAACACTTAGAACTTGGGAGGAAGGGGAAGAAGTAGATATAACCCACAGCGGACGACCGGTGATGATGGTGCCAGCACGCTCTCCAGCTTTGGTCATTTCGCACGTACAACGACGACAACAACAACAACAACAACGAGCTCGGGCTCTTATGCTGACGGAGAAACGGTAAAGAGAGGGCGGAGTAACACGAGGGATAGGATGTTGCGGCGTGTAGCGTTAGGTACGGACGACGTTGTCGTCGCGTCACTTTACGACGGACTTCTCGGCCACGACGGGGGATTATCGACCGTGACACGGCGTCATTACGCCTGGCGTTACGCGGGCGAGAAACTCGTAATTCCCGCGTTAATCGGTTTTTCTTTTCTTTCTCGCGAGAGAGCCACGGACGCGTAGACGTTAATTGCGTGGAGAAAACGTCCAATTAAGCGTTGTAAGCAGCAACGTCGCTTCTCGACTTCGTTCTTTTTTTTCTCTCTCTCTCTCTTTTAAGTGAATTACCGTTTTTTTTTTTCATTATTTACGATAAAGGTTTGATTTGAGAGGATTACGTTCGATGCGACGACGGGGACGACCTTTCTTCCAAGCTGCGCGCTCGTTGAGTTCGCTGCGATCTATTTTGAGAAAGCGCGTTTTTTTGTTTTGTTTTTTTTTTTACGTCCGATTACATCTGCCACGTTGTACTCGCGCGCTAAAAACAGTTGTGAAACGGTGTTGTTTTTTTTCTGATTACAGCGTGTCAGCAGGTCAAATACGGTGTCCAGGCGGTGTTCGGGCCCTCGCATCCGATTCTGGGCCAGCACATTCACAGCATCTGCGACGCCCTCGATATACCGCATCTCGAGGCCAGGCTGGACCTGGACACGGAGGCGAAGGAGTTCAGCATCAATCTCTATCCCGCACAAAGTCTGCTCAACACCGCGTATCAGGACGTCATGGAGTTCCTCAACTGGACGAAGGTGGCGATCATCTACGAGGACGACTACGGTGGGTGACGGTGATAACAATTTGATACTTTTTTTTTTTTTAATGTATTTTCGATCTTGTTGCATATTTGTGTGTAAACGCTAATACGCAACGGGTTCGATTACTCACGACTCTCGAGAAAAAAAAGCGGAAAGTGCGCGAAGAAGTGTGAGATTTCGTTGTATTGGGACGCGCTTGCTTATAGCGTTGAGCAGAAAACGCCTCGGTGTTTTTCTGCTCGTGTAAAATGTGAAAAGCAGGTCGTTTCGAGAATTTTTTTCGCTTTGCAACCGACGGAACGCATTTGTCAAAATTTGCGTTTCGCACTCGGTAGAATTCCTCGGGATGTTTAACGCGCGCGGAGACTCGCGCTAATGGCGCTCACACACACACACAGGTCGTAAATAAATAATAAAAACACGCGGCAGCAGAACTCTCGTATTTTTGCCGGAAAACCCATCTTTGACGGAAGAATGAAAAACGGTAATGTGTGTTTGTGGGGGGGAGAGGAAGTTTGCATACACATTTTCCGGATGTTTTTGCTCATAGACCGTGTGCGGGAGGAAAATGCACGGTTAACTTCATCGCGTCTGACTAGCGAACAAATCCGTGACCACTTCAGCGGATTAAATGGCCGAGAGAGCGCGCAACAATATTACAAGCCTCTCTTTCGCATCGCTTTGTGCGCTTCTATCGCGAAACGCTTGTTGCGTTTGTTCCCGCGGAAGTCAAAAGTAAATTAAAGAGAATCCTCCGCGTTTTTTTTTTTTTTTTTTTTTTAAATAAAAAAAAAGCACAGGAGAAAGAGCGATTTCCTATTTTTAACAGCGAGCATTGCTGAAAGGCGAGCATTAAATGAAACGCGAACACAATTGAACACAATTTTAAATCCGGTATAAAATTTCCCGTTAACGCGTAAACTGGTTCTGGAAATTCTTTGAAATTTGATGCGCGCGGATACGCGCGCGTTTCGCAATCCGATAAAGAGAGTGAGATAATGTGTCAAATTTTGTAGCTCGCCCGGGCGTTTTTATCTCTCGTGTAAAATACGATACTTTGACTAAAACTCGCGCGGAGAATTCGTAACATTAGCGTAGGAAAAATGAAACCGTTCTTTTCTACTTCCAGTAGGAAAGAGAACATCTTTTTGCTTCCCCCGCGGATTTAATTAATTCGCATAATGGATCCGTTTAACTTAGTTCGAAGACGTTACGAGGGGAATTTAATTTTATAGAGCCAGTTATTCTAATCTGTTAAACGCGCGCGAGGATTGAGATACTTTTTCCAGATCGTGGATTTGAGAAATCCACGTGGTTTCGTCGATTCCAATCCGCGACGGTGTCAAATTTCTTCGCTCGTCGCGCGATCTTTCTTTTACGCGCTGGGCGCATTAATTGCGCAAAGAAAACGTGCGCTCGTCGAATCTCACTCTCGTCATAAATTCGAAAAGAAAAGCAGCGAGCGGTTCCAAGCGCGATTCTCTCGGACGAAGGGGGGGCGCGATTGCGTCCTGAATTAGAAAAGGTCGCGGCGCTTACACACGTATAACACGGAGAACGCCAAGAAGAATCGCACGTCATAAACGCACGTTCCGGGACTCCGGGAATATCCCCGTGACTGATTATCGCGGCACGTGAGTCGTCACCGCGGTTCGTCGCGACGTTTATACGTGACCGTACTTTGCCGCCGAATCCGCCGCCGCCGTCGCCGCCGCCGCCGTCTGGCGCCATTTGTCGTCGCGCGAGAGATATTTCACGGAACGTCTCCGCGGCGGTTTTTTTTTTTTTTTACGAATTACATATGTGTCCGTATAATTCGGCGTGAAACAAATCGCCGCGATTGTCGCGACGTCTGACTTCTGAGCGCGTTGGTTTTGAAATAGAGATATATTGGAATATTTGCGCAAAGAGAGATAGAAAGAGAGAGAAGGGAAGGAGGACGAGGGAGAGAGCGATAAATAAACGCGTGTCTTGCACACGTTGACGTTGCAACTCGAAAGTTCACCGTAACACACATTCACACGTACGAACTAACGAAATGAGTAATCGGAAAGTGCCACGCGAATGTTTAAAATTAATTACAGTACGTAATCACACGGTAACAGAACTGCGTAATCTCCCAATGCGAATCGTGTTCTACATGAGAATTCCATAATAATACCGCCTCGGGAAGCCAACAACAACAACAGCCGCGGTGAACAATAGAATCGTTGTATTATTATTACCGAAAGGAGAGATAGATAGATAGATAAATAGATAGAGAGAGAGAGAGAGAGAGCTCTGTATCAATTAACTTTTCATTAAAATTCAATTGCGACCGCGGCAGAGAATTACCAACCTTTTAGGTCAAGTTTAATTCCCTTGTATATTAATCTCTTCCCCCGTAGCGTGTCTCGAAACGTGAAATCGGTAACGAAAATTATTGATCGAATTTGCGTGATTCGAGAATTCCCGCAAATAATATCTGATCCGAGCGCGATTATAAGCGACGTCATTGTTACGTACATGTTATGGATTGTGCGATCGAACACAAACGACACACGGTTGTTCCCGTGAAACAAAACGCATTCTCCGTTCCTCCCTCTCACCGAGAGGGGAGAACAAACGGCGTCCCAAAGCGGGAGGAATCTTCAGATTTTTTCTCCCGTCGAATACTTGTTCTCGCGCGCGTCGATAATTTCATTTCCGCGTGTCTCTCTCACCGAGAGATTTCCTCGGAATTTAACCACCACCCTCCGATGAAAACATCTCTCTTTTCGAGCTTAACCGTCTTTCACAACGAGCTTTAGCTATTTGTGTGTGGATGTGCGAAAGCACACGTACAAGCCGATTAGAACGCCCCTGACTCCTTCCCACCGGTCCCCCCTGCTGGGGCACCCCCCGCCTCTCGTTTTCTCCACGCCGTGTTTTCCGGGGGCCGAGAATTCCTCGGGAAATTTACCGGGTCTCCGGGATCTTCGTGTTTCCTCCGCTTTCAATTCCGGCGCGCAATGTACCCGCGAAGTGTAAGGGATCCGGATCGGCGACATCGTACACGTCTCGGGCATGTTTGCCCCGTTTACGAGCCCGCGACTCAAGGAATTTCGCTTTTCCCCACAGAATTGAGCATCGTCGTCCTGCGGTGTGTGACACGTCGCAAAGGAGGAAGAGGATGGGACGGAGGGAGAGGAGGGGAGGAGCGGTTCGATATCGGTTTTGGTCGAAATCAACCGCGTGTCCGATCGTGTGTCAATAGTTGCGAGTGAATCAAGAGAAGAGATGGAGACTCGGCGCGTATACCGTTTCACGGATACCAGTTTGCTTTTCTAGTAAATGTAAAAAACAAAACAAGAACGGCAAACTTCAAACAGTTGCGGAATCAAGTCGCTCCTGAATAATTTGATTTATTTCTGTTACGGATTTGAGTGCGTTCAGCCACCTACACGGTAGTTTTGGCTATACCGACGCACATTGTCTTCTCAATTGAATCTATAACTCTCTTTCACATACTTTTCTTTCCTTTTTCTAATCTTTGTGCAGTAATAGTACACTTCTACCAATCGGTTCGTCTTTCACAGAGAGGACGCCTCCCACCATCTCGCGCTCCAAGTGATTGACGTGACTAAGATTCGTTTTCGGGAGAGATTAAATTCAAGAATTTATTCGAATTAATTTATCGGAGAGGCTCGCGGCGATTCAGTTCGCCTTTCAACCGGTTAACTCGATTGAAAGGAATCGGTCCGGAAAAAATCTCCTAGAGTGTTGAGCGGATTCGAGACCTCTATATGTTCGCCTTTATGTATAAGCTCTGCACTCAGGCTCTGCGAGACCAGTGGGCCTCTGAATAATTTGAGCAAACGCGCGTTTCATTACCGCGGTGCGGTGATCTCTCGGCAAAGCAAAAGACAGCGCCGGCTGATCTCTCTCTCTCTCTCTCTCTCTTTCTCTCTCTATTTATCTATCTATCTATCTATCTATCTATCTATCTCTTTCTCTCTCTTTGAACTTTCGAGTAGTTTGGAGAGCCACTGATATCGATTTGCGATTACTTTACTCGTTTTCCGTCTCGCAAAGTTACCGCGCCGATGCGGAAACTTGCCCGACCAGTAACAACCGGCATCCACTTTACGCATTACGCGAATCGCTGCGTCCCATCTCTAATCAGACGAGGATGTGTTTCTCGTCTGGTTGCGCAGATAATTCCGAGCGAAGATCTCTCGATCCTCGCGCGCGCACAAATATACATATACAGGGTGTCTCGTAATTGTCGTACACTCTCTTGAAAAATAAAGAGAGAGAGAGAGAGAGAGAGAAGTGGAAAAACAACACGTGACTAAAGTCGCGTGACTTTAGTCACATGTTGTTTTTCCTCTCCTCCCTGTCACGTGACTAATTTAGTCACGTTTTTAAAGACACATGACTAAAGTAGAGTCACGTGTTGTTTTTGCATTTCTCCCTATTTTTTTGAGAGATTGTACGGCAATTACGGGACATTCTGTATATCGCACGTATTTAATTTTATTCCCAACACTTTCGCGCGTGTACACGAGTATAAATGATACGCGGGCGCTTTGAATGCGCTTCTCCGCGAGATTGCTACTGGAAATGCCATAATCTTTTATTCCCTGTATGCCTCTGAACTGCTACGGAATGTCAATTCAGTTTCTTTCGGCGAAAAGTTCAAACATCTTTGGCCGCTTCTGCAATTTCAAATGGAAAATGGAATTTCGTGCATAGAAACACGTTCAAAGAATATCGAAGAATTTCGAGCTTTTCGATCGTGAGAATTTTCTCCCGCATTTTTACGACGGAAACGGCGCGGCGTCTTGTTTCATGAAGTAACATTACACAAAGTAAACGCGTTATACATCACATTTGATGATTTCGCAAATATGACGAAAGTCATTCGACGCGAAAAAAAATATATTAAATTAGATTATTCTTAAATTATTAGAATAATAACATATAGATCAGCGTTACATAATAAAGGTTTCGTGACGCGCCCATCAACTTCTTTTTTTACTCTAATTTGAAATCTTGAAG